CTACAGTGTTGGTAATATAGGAAATGACTTTCAAATGGTAAAAAATCCTTTTGGCAATTATGATTTTTATAAAAAGAGAACTTATTTTCAAAATTTCAGTCAATCCGGAGAATGGGGATTTCCAGAAGTTTTGCTTAATTTTTATTCCTTTTTACACTATGAAAACTTGATTTGCGAACTCGAATTCACTTATAGAAATTCTTATGGACGGCAAAAGTGATGTTTCCTCCTTTTACTTGAATAAAATTGAATGAAATACATGAAAGAGTTGTAAGACCGAGAAAAAAATTATTCATGCGTGGAAATATTAGCACTTGGAATCTCATGTGGGAATGAACAACTTAAATAGAATTATGTATCCTTAATTATCGTAACGATTAGGATGCCGATCAGCATGCAGTGAATAATTTCTTACATAGGGTGAGTGCGAAGAAATTGTGCAGTGCATCTAATCAATGGACAAATTTATCATACATGCCTTTTTAGGAACTTGAAACTCTACGAGTCGAATTCAAACGGGATTTGATATCTTAAACAAACATTATAATAGTAATTATTGCTTTGTACACGTTTAAGCAGACGTCCTTTGATCAATTATTATCAAAGCCTCTGCCCCATCACAAAATTTCATCCACTTAATCATCTCATCTCTGTCAATTGTATAAAAGGAGAAATTAAAACAGATTATTGCATGCAAAGTTCAGACACAATGAGGACTGCGATGAGGAAAGCCTCAGATCAGCTTAGACAGACTTTAGCAACTGCAGAGGCTGATTAGTGCCAATGAAAAATAATTTCCTGGGCTTATTAAACTGCAATTCCCGAGACAGTAATAAGTTTCGTGCATAACATCCTGTACACGAGTATAAATAACATAAAAACTATTGGGAACTGTAGGTGAAATCGAAATTTTAATCGATGGCTGCGACATTACCAACTGTCGATAAAAACGAAATTATTTACACGGTTCGAAATTAATTTAAATTACTTTGTACAGTATTATTTTACACTGAATCATGTCATCAGCCGATAGTAAAAATAATTGTTTAATTTTCACCCATCGATTAACAAATTCTTTCTGCATTTAAAACAATCGTAAAATCATACGATCACCGTTTAGTAGTCTCTATTGTAGTT